AGACTTTTCTCCAACAGTGGAAAATTTCTTTTGAATTCTTGTCAATAAAATATATTTCTGTATCTACTTTCTTCTTAGAAAAGTTTGTATTGGTCCAGAAATTCATCCATCAAAAGAGTCAAGTCTTTCAATTATCAATTCTTTTGTTTTTTTTTTATTTTGGCTATTTTATTCCCGATTTTCATCTCCTTTGCCAATTGCTTACGCAAAGAGGGTTTTGTGGTTCAAAATTAGTTTTCTCTACTTGTATTTATTTATTATTTTTATTTATTTTTGGATTTTAAGAATTGTTATCGTTTACGATTTTGGCATTTATTTATTTTTATTAGATTTTTTAAACAAAAAACGGAAATGAAAATGCTTTCAATGAGAGATTATCGATTCGTTTTTGAGTGATGGTAAGTTTATGGAATTTCCATATAGTGATTTTTTTCTGTTCATAATTTATTTTATGTATTTTTGAATATTTTAAATAATCATAAATTTTTAAAAAATATTTTTGAATATGCAAAATGTTTACTAATGAAATAAACAAAACATCATTCATAAACCATTCAACAATTTTATTTATTTTCTTTAAGTTAAATTAAAAAAATGTAGAAATTTAATAAAATTATTAGAAATAAAAGAATGTGAAAAATTTTTCAAAGTTTTGCCAAAGCTGGTACAAATGGATAAAAAATCCATTTTTTATTTGCAATTTATAAATCATTTTATTTTTCACGAAAATGCAAAAATTATGAATTTATTTTAAATACATAATGAATACATACAATGCTTATATATGAAAATACCTAAAAATTTAAATTGTATTTATTTTTGGTAAAAATAAAAATTTCTCTTTATACTGCAATAAGTATTCATTTATGAATTATCCGAATAAGTAAAAATATTTCATTCTATACCAAATAATTTATTACGAACTATATTTTTTCCAGTTATCAGTATATAAAATCCTACAGCTCTCTAAAGTAATTCATTTAAACATCTATCGGGTGAAGAGTCCACCAAACAAAAATCGAAAGTTCCAAATATTTTTCTCCTAACAAATATATATGTTAATATATCTCATTTGCCATTAGTTTCAAGCAACTATGCATTGCTAAATCTATTTTTATTGTATCTTTCTCTAGACATTGTCCCCACAAATCATAACAAACATAATCCACAAACATATATCCTTGAAACGGAATAGTGCCGTTTTGAATCAACACTAATACACAGTTTTGGGTAGAAATAAAACGCAATAGGTCTGTCTATTGCTTACACGTGTTAACTAACCGTCAACAGCTATTTTGAAAAGTGTTTTGTGAGAGTGGGTCTTGACTAATAAATAACTCTCTGCAATCACTTAAACATCTTCAGAAGAATTATTTTTTTGTGAGGTCTCTTGAAATTTTTTTATACGACGATTTCAGTCTTATTTTATTGCCTTCTGGAATTATATTTTATTATTATTTTTCCGTATATGAATAAAAATTTATTTACATTGTATTCAAATTAAAATTTACCTCAGAAATAAAAGTTAAGTGTGGTAGAATTTTTTATTATGACAAATTCAGAGTTCATCGCACATATTTGCAAAATATTTGTGTTTATCACAGTTTAATTTTATAGGCGTTTTTTTTTATACTTTTATATTTATAAGATACAAATGAACGAAATATGATTATATATTTTATTTTTAATTCCGAGAAAATGATAAAAGAGAATCGAATTTAAATGTGGTTTTTTCATTTATCTAATAAATAAAATATATGTTTTTATTATTTTCTTTCATATGAACAAAAACATATATAATATAAATATTTATGTATTCACTAAAAAAATGTTTATCACGTGTTTATTATATAAAAAAACATGTTCAAGGTGTGAGTCCAACAGCTGAGATTTGGTAATATACAATAAAATTTAAAATTTTAATAATTTTCAATGATATTCAAAAAATTATTTAAATATGGAGCTTAGTAATTTTTCTACTGGTTCCTATTTTTAAGTAGTTTTCCATATAATCAGATCGTTGAGAATAGTCTATAGATTTTGTAGTGAGATCAAATCTATTTACTGTCTCCTTAACTCTTGTTGGATTATAAAACCTTTACTATCGATCTAAATCGTATTCTGTTTCATGTTGTTAGGATATACATGGATAGGATTCCATGTATATCCGACGTCATCAATTTCTTCATCAACAATTTAACAATTTGACGCTAGGTTTTTGTTGAGGCGCCTAGTCCATAACTGCCATGCCAATAGCATAATAGGATTAGGAATAGGATTATATATGAGTAATAGATATATATCTGTTTAAGAAGGTGTTGCTAACTTTTTTTTAAAACTTTATTACTAGAATGGGATTTATTGTGTGCTATTATAATTTCTTGAAAAGAATACAATAGACTGTCGGTTTAACCAATATCTAATGATTAATAGTTTCGAACTCTTTAAGTAACAAATAATCAAATACTTGTAAATAATAAGGATACCAAACATGTTCTTTCTAAAATAATGAATGTCGCATATGACAAATGAGACTGAGACTTTGATCAAAGTTTGGTTTCAATATATTTTTTGACTTGTGTCATTCAAGATACATATCTCTACGGAATATCTAACAAAAGTAAATCCTTTTGTAGTAAATTCCGTTGACTTGTCCGTATATAGCTGACAAGAATCACAGCAGAAATTGATCGTCTTTAAAACATTAAGAGTTTGAGGATTATTCGCTAAACATTATCCGTTTCGTAACACCCACAAAAAAAAATTTGTGATAAATCGGATGATCTTTGTGTCCAATTCATATACCATATATTGTTATTAACATAGAAATGTTATCTTGTTATTATTATCGTTTTGCAGGGTTCAAAAATGAAAAACACTATTATACATTTGTAAAATCGATCATGGAACCAAATGTCGTTATAGTTGAACTGATTAATTTTTAGAAATTGTTGCCAACAATTTAGTCAGCATGGTTCGATAGCGCTCGCCCTTCACCATAATGGCAGCTCCCTTCTCATTTCAAAAGAAATAAGAGCCGAAGATGCCGATAGCGTGTAAACTGCAAAAAATAGTCAATTATTGATGATTTTGAATCGAGAAGAGTAAAATTAGTGCGAAATCGATCAATAACTGCATGAATTGCTTGTTAACCAGGTTAATTATGCTGACCGTAAAATGAACGAAGTGTTCAATGAACATTACGAACATATTTTTTTTTTTTTGTCAAAGTAAATTTCCACAATTTAGAAGTATTATTCTAGCTTTACACGATTCATGTTTAATTGCCAAATCATACCGAACAAACAGGTTTAACATTCTTATCTGTCAAATCATAGTTACCGATATCGATAGTTCTCATGCAGCTTAAAAAATACCTTTAAAACCTTCCTATAAGAAAGGTTTTGGTTATCATATTTGTGATATCGATAGTTCTCATGGGGCTCAAAAAACATCTTAAAAACCTTTATATAAGAAAGATTTTGGTTTGTAATTTTGTGATATAGCGTGTATAATTTCAGGTACTGGGAAACCACTTCATTACCGCATTTGGATTCTGTTTTCTTTAAAAATTCTTTCAGGTGTTGAATACAAAAATAGCAAAAATAGTAGATATTAAAAATTTTTTTTTAATTATAATTATTACAGATAATTACACATAAAACTACAATCAAGTACGTTTATTTCATAAATATATATATATTTTTCCAATCAGTTTTAATTCCCTAGCAATTGTCATTGTTTCTTATCTGTCAATACTAATTTGAAGTTTTCAGTGAACTGAACTCAGAAAGGATTTTATCTTTTTTCTTGCTATTATCAACAAATAAGTTAACTATCTATCGCGATTATTTATTGTTTATTTATTATCTCAGTAACTTCAATAGCATGTGATATATATTTGTTAATTATCTGTTTACTATGAGAGAATGAATGGATATATATGGATGGTATTTTGGAGAGAATAAGAAGTATTTACTGATAGGTTATCTAACTTTTTGTGCCACCAAAAATATTCTCACAAATATTTTATTCAGTGATATTAACACTTCTGAAATATGTTTATAATAAAATAAGGTAAATACAAAAAATTCTCGAAAAATGATTTTTAAGGTCAAAACTATTATAAACGATGACAGTTGAAAATTTTAATTAGACTCGATTGAAGTTGGGCGAAAGTTTCGATTAAGTCCTTTCATTTAATATTCCTCGTCAAGTGTTAATTATAAAAAATTCTAACAAATGTTGTCTTAAATGAAAATGTGTAGTAACGTGCACATTTTCTATTGCTGTTATTAATTTTTTATCGATTTTTTAGTATCAAATTAAGTTTTACACTCTGCATTGCCTTTCTGTGATGTTCCACAAACGTTCAGTGACATGACCTCTTTTCCAATAGATAGTCAATAAACTGCATCTATTATTCCACAGTGACAAGGGGCTCGTTTTTTCTGAAATACGCTTCAAATATTTATACAGAAACTTATACACTTACACAAAGGGATTATGTATTAACTAAATTTAAACTGTAAGTAATACTTGTACATTGAATGTCCTTGTTGGACTTTTTTTTTATATTAAAACCTATATTACTCCCTTTTACAATAGACTATACGTATTCTCCTCAGCTGTGTTCAATCTTCTGAAATCGCATAAAACATTTTATTGTTGTCTGTTTTATTATTCGTCGAATACCAGAAAAACACTCTATTCATTTCGCCTTTTACTAAACAATTTCATTTAGTTTTGTATTGTCGAGTTAATCAATTTATGTATGCAAGCAATTCATGTGTAAATGCGAATGAGATATCTCATCATACATTGCTCTGAAAGAGGTCAAATCGAATTACTTATTGTGATTGCACCGACTTGATACTGCATACAAGTTATTAGTTCAAGAAGTGGACAATGAGATTTTTTTTAATTTTATTTTAATTAATTGTAATTTATCTTAAATAATAGAATTTCATAAAATAATTTTTTTAATTTCTTTAATTTTTATACAGATACTTAAGAAAGTCAATTTGGTACTTATTTAGAAGTGCTGATTATTTCGGGCACTTTTTTTGGCATGTCTGCAGATACCTGCTGTTCCCGTTCATATGGCATAGCACAGAGCACCGGAAAGGTTTCAAAGTACGACAAAATGTCTTCAGTATCTACAGAGGCAACATTTACATTTAAGGTAGCCCCAAAGCGCGGGAGTACGAATGGTGTTAGCATAAGTGCCAGCAGTAGCGTTGGTTCCAGTGAGTTATCAGATCCATTAGACTCAGATTACAGTGAAGAAGCAGAAGAAGAACAGAGTGTAAGTATTAATATTAATTTGTGTTTTGGTTTGAGCATGTTATTAATATTTAATGGTTATACTAAAAAAATATTATGTATTTTATAGAATGTATTTCATACTATTTTTAGAAGGAAAATACTTGTACAATTTTCAATTTTTAAAAATAACTAAAAGTTTGTAGGTGAATACAATTTATTTGTGTACCATAATAACCTACGATAAAATGAGTTCATGTACTGCATTTCACGTTGAGAAAAACTGTATCACACTATATAAGAAATAAGAATTATATGAGTTAGTGTTCCAGTTTAGCAAATAATATAGATCTCACAGCTCAATAGGTACAATTGTTTTTTCGAAGAAGAGATTTGGAATAGTTCTGTTTGTTCCAAATAGCTTGAATCAGTTGGATAGTGACTAAAATTTCTTCTCTATAAGTTTAGAATCAATAAATTATAATTTTAATGCTCAAAAAGTAAGTAAGTAATATGTAAGTAACTTCACATTTAATGATCTCATAGGTCATAGGTCACGGTGTTCAATATCTTCGAAGTATAGATTCGTAGTCGTTATTTAAATTTACTCGAGCATTACCCGAGCAAAATTATATCGCCCTTAGTCAAAAATATAATAATATATTTAATTTTATTGATTGAATAAAACATGTAAGCAATTTCGGATTTAATGAGTTGGTTTATTATTGATGGTATTGTAGAATAAAAGTCATATCAACACATATCAGTGGGAAATTAATAAAAAAAGTAGTGTTTACTTTTAAAACCTAATTTTATAATAATTTTATAATAACCTGATAATACAAAAAGTTCTAGTTAATAGAAAGAATTCATTTTTGTTATATATACACACTTATATATATATACATATATATATAGATTATACGTATATCGCAAAAATCATTATACGCTACCGATAAATATTGATAAAATAAAAACTGATGATATATTTAATGGGTTCTTACATAGTTCTAAGTTCTAAGTAATTTTTTTCAAAGAATATTCTTCCTCACTGTTTTGATGTTGGCATAAGTTATAAGGGCTTTATAGTATATATGCTATCTATATCTAAAACGTTAGTTAGGCAAAAATTGTAGTCCGTGTGGTAATTACTTGTTTCTCACAATATATTGTTTTAAAAAAAAATTAATGGTATTAATTCATAATTTTAATGTAAATATATTACAAGAAATATTTATAAGAAAATTTATGTATATTTATTATCAGATAAATCATTGTAAATCTGATACAAATCAACAGATATAATAGCTGAGACTAGAAAAATCTGGACATAAAAGACTTACAGAATTATTTAAAAATATCAAATCTTTCTATCGCACTTAAATATTGTATATAGCTAAATATCGTATAAATATATTGAAATCCAAAACTTAAAAAATTTTAAAAAATTAAAAATAAAGTAGATTTTTTGATTATTTTTACTAGATGTGGATGATTTTTTAACACAATTTCTATCGTTTTCATATCAAATTTCTTGCAGTTATATTTACATATTTAATAGCCAACGATATTTTGTTGGTTAAAATTTTAAGAAAACCTAAAGAACCGGAGTTGAGAGGCCACTGCGTAATAGGGAGGCATGCTATGAGACCAGGTCTTCTCTATAATGATTCTTGTCGCGGTTGTGACTCTGAGAACGAGGAGAAAACTGTGATTCATCTCATGTGTCAGTATCCATTTAAACTAAAAGAAGATCAAAAATCTTAGTGCTCTTTGTTTTACCGATCTGTCTGAGCTACCATCCTGCAATATTAGGGAGTTAGCCAGATTTATAGAATTGTCAGGTTGATTTACTTTTACTTAAAAGGGAAGTTGTTGCCTTTTTGGCGTTGGTCATATACTGACCTTCCATTCTATGTACGAACCAACGCTATTTCTGTGGTACCACAACAGGCTGTTATTTGTGCTCAAGTGAGTATTCTTGGTATACAAGGCCGCTACTCCAACCTAAGTTAACCCAAAGTAATCTCGCAAGTAGATCGAGATTTTGCGCAATATCTCGAAAATTTAGCGAAAACTGTTATGCAAAAAATGATTGTAAATTTGAGATCAACAGTCCAAAACTCTGATCCAAAATTACTGGTTAGTGTTACCAGCGGCATATGAATAATAAACTAACAAATTATAAAAAAAAAATATTTTAAAAAAAAGAGAAGTAATTTCTTTATAATAAAATTTAATAATCAATTATTTTTTATATCAGAAATCAGAACAGACAGAAGATTCAGAGGAGAGTAAAAATAAAGATGATGGTAATGAAACAGATGATGAAAGCGAAAGTGTTGAAACAACCAAAAGTGCTAGAAAATATCATTTAGACGATTTTCAAATGATCAAAACTGTGGGTGAGTGTTAAGTGTTAAGTAATGCTTCAATGTAATATTTTATGCTTATGTATATAGATACTTTTTTATCTTTTTTAAACTTTTTTAAATATCATATTATTGCGTTCAATTAAATTTTATGCAAATCGAAGGTGTAAATTAAAATTTGTATTGTTCGATTTGATACGATTTGCGAACCGGTGATATCCCTATGAATCACATTTGATTCTAGATGTAAACAAAAACTAATTCGAATATACTATACACCATAGCGCACCTAGTAAATATTTAAATGATCGCCTGTTTGAAATCAACTTTTGGTAATAAAAACATAGAAGCAAACAGAGACTAGTGAATGCGCTGGAGAAATCCACAAAAATATTTGTGTTATTGTCTTCTTACTCAACCAATTCTCGTAATTGTTTGTTCCAATACCCGAAAAAACAATAAAAATTGTTGACTGTTTTATGAGTTTTTTAATTTTTGTTGCATTTATTGTCTTATTAAAATTTTGTTTTTCAATGTTTTCAAATGCTTTTCAATGTTTTTCACTGTTTTCCATTCAAATGTAAAAATATTGAATTGGGGATTTTCATTTCTGCGGAATGTAAAAGAAACCAAATCCGAACCCGATTTGTTTATTTACACATTCAATCCGTGTTGTTCTAAATTTTCGTTTGATTTTCGTCCTAATAAATAGCGAATTACTAATGCAAATCTCTCTAATTTGTTGTGAAAATACGTATATGGGTGCCAGGTTCATTCATGATTAATAGGCAATAAAAATTTGTTTATATAAAAGCAAAGATACTGAATGACTCAAAATTGTATTTTGGAATATGTTCAGGTGTTGTCCGAAAGTAGAGCAAACATAAAATGTTTACTGACTCATCTGAAAAGCAATAAAATTGACAAGCTATTGAACTTTTTTAAAGGAAATTGAACTGAAATTCGATTTTCTGCTTATGCACATCGTGGCGGGAACACTATTGCTCTACGACTGGTGTATTTTCCACGTTACATGCAAAAACATAGATTGGAATATTGATATTTAAGAAGATTAAAAAATATTGATATTGTTCCTTTAGAAATTGTAGTTACTTGAACGATTAGGACAATATTTTAAGACCATATAAAATTTATAAACAAGCAATTAGGGCATTAGTCCACCGACGACTACCTTGCGCCCAAAGCATTCTGCCAAAAACGTTCTGTATATTAATTAAAGACCTAATTATACCTATCCGCGATAGAACTATTTACTATCATTAATAGAATATATAATTATTAACATTAAGATGGAACTATCATAAATGTAATATCAAAATTTATGTAAAAGTATAGTAAGATCCGTTTATATGGATCTTATTTTATATATATGATAATACACAACTACATAGAGTACAAAAATGTAGTGAAATAATTTAAATGGAAGAATATAATTTCTCAATATTTATTTGTTAGTAAAATATGATAGTTGGATAGTTTATTGCTTTGGCTGGTCAGCAGATATTCTTCGGCTGTTTATTGTATTGTATAAAAAACGAAAAATAGTTCTTACTTTTTCATAATTATCTTAGTTATTCTATGTTATTTTCCCCCATAGACTTCAAAGAGGCGATAAACTCATTTATATTATTCTAAATGGGAATATAGAATGCAGTTCAATTTCTTAAAATACTGCCCACTAATAACCCCAAATTTTATGCTCCACTTAGAAACGGGTTTACCAACGCAGTTTGTAGACACAAACTAATACGATATGTAAGATAAATTCTTAATCTCCTCTCCACAAGGCTTTCTCGAATATTAGCTGAACTTACCATTAACAATTGAATATATTGGGTCAAAGATTGAAAAAATATATTTTTAGAACTGGGTTTTTCAATAACCAGTTTACAGAGTATGGAACTTAAGTTATTACACAATAATGTCATAACTTTATACAAACAGAGTGACCACGATTCCTTTGTGGCAAATGCGACATATCGAGTCTACTTTTTAAATGTAAAGGCGGTCTTTTTAAACTGATCGGCAGAGAATTTAATATATCTGAAAGTGATTGTTTTTTGTGTAATCATCATGAAATAGAAAATATATGTCATATTATTGGTGTATGTTCGATTTTCAGAGAACATAGACGTATTTTTTTTTTTTTTTTTGATAAACCATTTTTTTTTGATGAAGAAGTTATACTTTTGCTAAATGGTAGCAATACTTATAACCTGTATAAATTTATGAAAAGTATTTTAAGTTAGACAAGAGTAATTATTGAAAAATTCATATGAATATTAATGTTAATAATATGCACCGTTTTTTTGTATGCCAATCTGACATACACCAAATAAGTTATTGTCAATTTAATTTTAAGTACAATTCTATAATTTTTGTAAGTGCTATATGAGTTTCTTTGAATCAATAATAAACAATAATAAAATAATATGAGTTAAATTGACCTGATGGACTGTGTTAGCAAAATTTTAGCTCATGTGATAAGGAAGAAATTAAAACCAACATGTGGTATGGTTGTACCAACATGATGCGTCGAGTAAGAATATTTTGACTTGAGATTTAGTCAAACTTTGGCATAACTATGAATTTTACAAATTAATTATCTATAACCGAAGAGACAATAAATGTTATCAAAATGTGGACCCATTTTATCATACTTATCATTGCTTATTCAGTTCTCCACAAAATGGAGAACTTACCCTAACAAGACTTGTAAGTTGTGTAGGGAAAATATTATGGGAAACAATAGGATAGCGAAAAATGTGCTGGAACAAAAGAAATACATAGGTGGGCATCTTATATCGGATAAACAAATAAGGCTCGGTAAGGTAGGCTTATTACAACAATAACTTCAGAAAATTGGACTTATAAAAATACTATGAATTCATGAAGGGTGGACAGTAGATGTGTTGGTCGCTGTGCTAATTCCCTAATTAATAATAATAGATCAGCTAAAAGTTTTGATTGAAAAAAATTGATTGAATTAATTTTAATAACTAGTAGATTCAGTATTTGCTGCTATCCTCCTCTATTAACTCTCAATGTAGACGAAAATGCAAGCGCAAATGCTTGCATGGTTTGCAAGTTGGAATAGTGAAGAAAATATTGAAACCAAAATTCTAGGAAAACTGATGAAAATGCAACTCTTATTTGCACGGATCATTCATGGCGTTGAAATGGAAATTGAAAACGTTTTTCGCATTTGGAGAAAGTGTAAAATAGGAAAACAACGTGGTGGGCTGAACGGCTATGATGCAGAAAGCAGCTGCGGTTGAAGTTTTCTTTTACGCGCTCGTATCGTGCACAATTAATTTTTTGCGTCCAAGCCATTGTCGAACGTGACAAAGCAGTGCAGATACTTAAACTGCACAAAGATCCGATAAAGTGTGAACTCTTAATTTTGCTTTTCATGAAGCCGCATTTGTGTTGGGAGTTTATCACAAATTTTGCACGTAAGAACCGAAGTTTACCAATGGACTAAGTCTTCACAACTATTAGTGAAGTGGCTTCAGCTTAACTCTTTTAAATACTTTTTGTTAAAAAATTGCAAATTTTATTTTTATGGAGAGGAAATAGTAAAATGGAATATTTTGAAAATTAATAAATTAATTAAAAATTATTTTCCATAGAAAAGCATTGGGAGTTCTGCAATACAGAATTTGTCAGCTACACTGCGATGCACTTTCAGTCGTTTCAGTTGCGGCTTCATTTGTTTTATGATAATATTTTTATGACTATTTTAATTGCATATCTGGAAAACTGTGGAAATCTTTCAGTAATGAGCACTTTAATACAAAATGGGAAGACTAAACGATATGCAGATATGCTAGTATGCAAATTGAACCATTTCCATTAAGAAAATATTCACCAATCCCATTAAGTTGCTTCATAAGAATATTAGACATGTGGGAGGACATGTGGGACTTATGATAGAAGATTAAGTCTGCTATGTTATTCATTCATTTGGCAGTTATGAGAAAGAAAAAGAAAGTGCGTCGTAACTGCTTCGTCTCTTTACAGTGAGTATGCAAGATCGTTTAATCCTGCTAGGGATATATTTTTTTAAAGATCTTAGCTAATTTTAGGACCTTTTTTTAAAGTTCAATATGGTACTTTTGAACGTACCAAAAGTTCAATATGATTTTTATGCTCCTTAGTTTTATACAGATTTATATATAATTTTATACAGAATAATGAAGCAGCACTAAGAATTTTCGATGGAAACGTTCTTTGTAAGATCTTTGGTTTTTTACGAGTTAGAGACGATGTTGATATGATTCGACAAATTAATACTCAGCGGCTTTTTAGCTTCGTCGTGTAGTTAGAATAGATGATGCCCCAGCGAAAAAGGGATTTGAAACGGTAGTTTGAGGAAGAAGGTGTAGAGGTAGATCATGTCTGCGATGAAGTGATTAAGTTGAGAGTGCAATAACCGGATTTAATGTACGAGACGGGGGATGGTGCACACGCATCTGAGGCGCTTGAAGAGACGTGCTGCATTAGATCAAAGCCCGATAACAGGTTGCATTGACCAAATAATAAGTAAAAGTAGTTTACAATCCTAAGTGGATCCCGTGAATTGCTGATAATACCTAACCTAATGTATATCCATAGTTAAATAAATTTTTTAACTGAATCCGTAACCTAATACACCTGAAAGGTTTTATCTTAACGATTATCTAAAGTGATTGGGTTGAGTGTTTCCTCACTTTGAACCAATGTTTAGTACAAAAACTTTCTTTGGTGCACTGAATCATTACTTTGAATCACGGGTAGTCTCGCTCCAAGCAGAATTTGTGAAGTCCAAATGGTGCAGTTCGTGTTCGATTAAAACGCATTAAACAGTCAGAGTTTCTGGTTCGTGGAATGGTTTATAACCTTCTTAAGAACAAAGATATCATATATATAACTGTAGTACTTACTGTAGATTATTGAGTTTTAATTTTGCAAATTAAATAAAAAACATTCTTTAAGGAAAATTTATTAATAACTTATTAATATTACATATA